CTGTTTTTTGAGCGCTCAGTTTATGCACATGAGCCATGCGGTTTTAAGTTTTGTTTCTGTAAAACGTAAACAAATATGCTCAAAGCTGTGTGGATAGGGAAGACTTGCGGACACAGAAACGACATGTTTCTGATATGGTGATACAGTCACACACAGATTCATTTCAGTGTAAACGTAGTCTTAATGTCATTTTGAGAGAAAATCTAATTGCTCTGAGGTCTCGGCCTGAGGGAAATTGATTAGGGCCCCTCCAGGTTTGGGGGCCCTAAGCAGCTGTCTACTTTTGCCTAATGGTAGCGCTGCCTCTGGTCCTAAAATCCAACTGAAATGGTTAATATCAATGTAGGCCAAACAACTATAGAAAATATAGAAAATCATATTGCAAATCTTAGGGCAAACTCTGCTACTAGCCTTTTTATAATCAGACAGAGTGCAGAAACACAATTCAGTTCATAATTCATTATAATCAATAAGTTAATAAAATAGAATCAAAATAAATAAAGAGTAAAACCAGTTAAGCTAAAACCAGTTTAAGGAAGGCCAACTGATAAAAAAAATATGTTTTAAGAAGTGATTTAAAAGATGATACTGATGGTGTGAGTCTTATGTTCTCAGACAGGTCGTTCCAAAGCCGAGGCGCCCGGACTGAAAAGGCTCCATCACTTTCATCTGGAGTCTGAACTTTGGAACAGACACAGGGACCTGACTGAGGATCTGCGACTGTGGGAAACAGTGGGAGACTTGAACTGGGTTAAAAGTTCTGAAATGTAACTTAGTGTGAGACCTAAACGAGCTTTAAAAGTGATCAGTAAAATTTTAAAATCAATCTAAAACACACAAGAAATTCCATCCATCCATCCATTTTCTTCCGCTTATCTGGGGCCGGGTCGCGGGGGCAGCAGTCTAAGCAAAGACCCCTAAACTTCCTTCACCCCAGACATGTCCTCCAGCTCCTCTGGGGGAACCCCAAGGTGTTCCCAGGCCAGCCGAGAGACATAGTCCCTCCAGTGTGTCCTGGGTCTTCCCCAGGGCCTCCTTCCGGTGGGACATGCCCGGAACACCTCTCGAGGGAGGCCCCCAGGAGGCATCCGAACAGCTGCCCGAGCCACCTCAACTGGCTCCTCTCAACGTGGAGGAGCAGCAGCTCTACTCCAAGCTCCTCCCGTGTGACTGAGCTCCTCACCCTATCTCTAAGGGAGCACCCAGACACCCTGCGGAGGAAACTCATTTCGCGCTTGTATCCGCGATCTCGTCCTTTCGGTCATTACCCAGAGCTCATGACCATGGGTGAGAGTAGGAAAGAAGACTGACCGGTAAATCGAGAGCTTCGCCTTTTGGCTCAGCTCCTCTTCACCACAACGGTCCGATACAGCGACCGCATCACTGCAGACGCTGCACCGATCCACCTGTCAATCTCACGTTCCGTCCTCCCCTCACTCGTGAACAAGACCCCGAGATACTTGAACTCCTCCACTTGAGGAAGGGACTCTCCACCCAAGCAAGCCACCTTTTTCCGGAAAAAAATTGGATTCAATAACAAATTTGAAGCAGTGTAAAAAATAAATAAATAAATAAGTAAAAAATAAATACAATGCAATACAATAAAAAACAAACAATACAATACAATAAAGAAAAAAAATAAAAATGTAATAAAATAAAATAAAGTAAAGTAAAAAAATTAAAAAAAAAAGTAAAAAAATAAAAATAATAAAATAAAATAGATGCACTCGATTTTATTATGTTGAACATGACTAAAACTAATTCTTTCCTGCACACTATGAACAGTAAGATTTCTTAAAACAACATAACATAACATAACATAAAAATAAATAAATAAATAAAATAAAACAAAATAAAACTACATGAAATGAAATAAAATAAAATTGAATAGATTATATTATGTCGAATGTGATTAAAATAATTCTTTCGTGCACACTATGAACAGTGACATTTCTTTTGCAGGTTAAGACTGTATATTTCCAGCAGATGGCGCTAGTGGACCGTGCGTAAAACGGCACACCGCGCGCTCTTGGGAAGTCTCTCTCACTGTCTCCAAAACCATAACAAACCCAACACCGTTCATGTGCGTAAGATTAGACGCACATAGTTTACACGAACAGTAGCAGCAGTTTGTCAGTATCTCCCATGGGTGCTCCTCTCCCATGGGTGCTCCCTCTCAGCCGCAGATAAGGGATCTAAGACGAGCCCTGGACGGCGCCGGGGTGGAATGGCTCATAATTACACTAATTGTGGCGCAGCCCGGAGCAGTGTCCCCGTCCTGCTGTCCTCTGCGCGTCTGCCCCGCTACAATCAACCCCTCTGTCTGCTCCCGCTCCACACACGCTTTTCATTAGGCCACAAATGTCCACAAATGTCCACAAATGTCCACAATGTCCACAAATACCACAAATGTCTACAAATGTCCACAAATGTCCCCCAAGCGCGAGGAGGAGTGGACTTCTCACGAGCACGTCCAACTACTTCATATATTTTATTGGAGGCTATTTTATTGTACTTTACTGAACTTTATTTATTTTATTTTAATTATTATTATTATTATTTTTTAAATACTTTTTTTATTTACTTTTTTTTCTTGCATTTTTATTATTTTTTATGTTCTTATTTTTACATTATTATTCTTATTTTTTATTTTATTTTATTTATAATTATTATTTTATTTTTTACAACATATCCAAGCAAGAGCAATATTTATTTACGTACTTATGTATTTGTGTTTTTTATTTTTATTTTATTTTATTCTTCACATCGTCCAATTTTGTTATATTTATTTATATAATTTCTTCTTCTTCTCCTTTTGTGTTCTTTATTTATTCAGTAGGTCTATTATTATTATTAACAATGACAGATTAGCTCTTACTGATGTTTTTTTTCCTCCACTCTTGATGAACAGACATTAGGTGCAGACATATTATTGTATTTGTTCATTTGGTGTAGGATTTGAGGATTACTTTACTTTACTTTTGGCGTGTCGTGTATTTGCTGAGGCCCGGAGCGTGGCGCCGCGTCTCTCGTGCGTTTGTGCCACGTCTGTCCCACGAGCGCCGCTGTCTCCGCGTCCCTGTCTCTGTCCGGGCGTTTGTTGATTGTTGGTTTGTCCTCCTGTCATGTCCTCCCTCCTCCTCCTCCTCCTCCTGCTCCTCCTCCTCCACTCCCCGGCAGCGGCAGCAGTCTGTAGCCCGGAGGGAAGCGTCCTGCCCCGGCGTCAGTGCGGCGTCAGGCTGGCTGCTGCGCGGGGCAGGGCTCTGGGGCAGGTAACAGCCACAAGCGCTGACCACGCGGAAAAAACAACTGACCAATCAAGTTAGTGCGTCAAGTTTGTGTTTCTTTATTTTGCTGTTCCACAGACATTTTGGGTTTTGTAGCCACAACTTCCACAGTGATTGAACGGTGTCAGACAGAGACTATTAGGATCCAAAAGATATGAATGAAGTGTTTTGGAGCGCGCTGCGTCAAGACAGACGGTCTTACGTAGAACAAAACCGGAAATGGTCAGAAAATAAAAGTGGAGTTTTCTAGTGGAAGATCTGAGCCCTGCTCTGCACTACATGTAGGTCTAGATATTACATAGTGCTGCATTAAGTTTATCTAGAGCAGGAGAGTCAAACTCAAATTCACAGAGGCCAAAATTAAAAACTGGGACTAAGTCGTGGGCCAAACTAAATATTTATTGAAACATTTCAGCAACATCTGCATGTCTTCTCTTCTTTCAAGATATGTAATGTTAAACATTTTCTTATTAAAATAAATGTTTATTCATAGTTTTGTTTAAACACTGAATCCAGAACAAACTAAATATTAAATAATAACAACATTTTAAATAAATAATGTCTCTATAGTTTATCTGTAGCCGGCGGGCAGCTCTAATACAGATTTGATATGATCTCATGGGCCAAATATAATTATATTGCGGGTCATATTTTCAAATCTGAGTTTGACATGTCTGATCCAGAGTATCCTTATGGAGACAAACAATCAGTGCCACAAGTTACAGGTCTGATCTGTGGAGAGGTGAGCCTGCTCACAGTAAGAATATGGTTTTCAGTGCTGAGCAATTACACTCAGGCTTAGACAAACTGTACTGATCCACAAATGACTTGGACACAGGAGGTTACACATCACAATATATTTAAATAACAAACAACAACAGTAAAAAATATAAAAACTTCTAAATAAGTTGTAAAAAGAAAGAAAGAAACAAACAAACAAAAAAGTAAAACAAGTAAGTTTAAACAAATAAACTGGATGTGAGGTGGACAGGTTTATGACAGGTAGTTAAACTCAGTACAGCAGAACAATCCAGAAAATGCAACAGTATCTCCATGGAGACGAGGAGGCAGCAGGTCCCACCAGAAATGTTACATAGTGACATAAACAGGACCGGGCCTGGTCAGTACTTGGGTTGGATGTCATTGTGTCCTTAGGCAAGACACTTCACCCACATTGCCTAGTATGAAAGCAGTGTGTGCGTGAGTGTTGGTGGTGGTTGAAGGGACCGATGGCGTCTATTGGCAGCCGCGCTTCCGTCAGTCTGCCCCAAGACAGCTGTGGCTACAATAGAAACTTATCATGAACAAATAATGATCTGTAAAGCGTTTTTGTGACATATATATAAAAAAAAAGTGCACATTAAAATTCAAATTATTCAATGAAATACATAAACATATCTGCTCAGTCAGGATGAAAACTAATGAAAAGCTTTACCAACATTAAACCACTGAATTTAAAATGTCCTTTACTTACAAAATATATATGTTAGACCAAACTGTTCTCCAAAAAGTTTGGTTTTAAAATCACTTTAAGCAACTAATTTTTTAATTCCATGTCAAAAGTTGTACTATTAACTGTTCAGAAAGTTTAACTACATTCGTCTTATTTTGTTTAAACCGTCCGGATCCAGTTTGTTCCCCCCCGGTGCTTTCCTCTCCCTCCTCGGTCCAATCAGAGCGCAGTGGGCGGAACTTGGTCCGACCACAACTATTTCCCTGGTAACTCTTGTCTGCGCGGAGTTCGCTTGCAGTCTTCTCGGAGTCGTCTTGTCTTTTTCCACAAACTTTTCATCGCGCAGGAATACAAAAGCGACACCTCGGCGCTTCGTATCCGACCGCATCACCTGGAACCACCGACTTTTGCACGACTGCTTGCAATCTTTCGGAGTATACCCCCGTTCCCCAATTTTTTTTTTCGCCCCCGAAGAAAGTGCTCGTTACGCGTCTTCTGTAACCACGGACAAGTTTTACGTTTTTACCGTTTTCGTGCGTAAAAGGAGACGTCTTGGCTGCATTTTTCGTTAACCTTGGCTCCTTTTCGGATTGTTCACCGTCGTATTTGGAGGCGAAATGGCTGCTTTTCGCCTGTAGCTCCATGTATAAGCCTTCTTCAAGCTACTGTGGCCGCTGCGACTGGATACGACGAAGGCTCCGTGCGTAATCATCCACCCGGGGGTCAATGGAGCGACAGTCCAGTTACATTTCGCTCTGGCTGCAACTGGAACTTTGTGCCATGGCCATTCTCCTCACGAAAGGTAACGCGGGGGTTGAATAATGTTAGACTTTGCACTGTTGTTTTGATGATGGGGCATTTAGGGGCATTTTGAGCGCAGGAGACACGGTGTAGACGCGTGCAGGAAATCGTGTAAATTGTCCGTTACTGTTATTACCTAGTTGTAAATATTTCATTCAACTAGTTTATTTTGAAGTGCTAGACTTACTTTTTAACATTTTTAACAAATGCACAAAATTTAAGCCAGTAAAAGTAAAAAAATACAAACTTTTTAATCTAAAATCCGCTTACTTGAAACTCAAATTTTCGGACATTTTGGATTCCTGTAAAAATAACACGTGCTTGCACCTAATATTAAAAGTCACATTATAGTAACATTTAATTTTGGGGTAGTTTAAATATTTTGTGTCAAGAAAATCACAAAACTGTGCATCGTTTTAAAAAGTTTAAAGAGTTTGACGCTTGTATAAAAGTTTGGCGTTTCTAGTTTTAAACCCATTTCGGACTTTCGACATTCTATTTTATTAAATTTTTTCCCCCAAATCTTGTGTAGTGATGATTTTAACTGTAGTTACAACAAGTTTAAGAGCATTTAGAGCTACCAGGGTTTTTTTCTCAATGAAGCAATCACTAGAAGTTCCATCTCCACGCTCTTCTCGGTTCCTCTGGCTCCTCTCCCTGCCCCGCTCTCTTATCTCTCCGGGGCCGTGGTTCATACCAGACTGCGCCGGCCCCTGAAGCTCCAGCGCCCGCTCTCCTCCTCCCCTCACTCCCCTCTCCTCCCCTCGCTCCTCTCTCCCACAGCGGGGCCTCTCCTCTAATGAAATATTCTCCAAATGACCTGGCTGGGCCCCGCAGCTCCAATCACTCACAGGGAAAACACTGATCTGATGACCGCGCTGCTGCCGCTCTGGAGGCACACAGGGAGGAAGGGAACGAGGGAAGGAGAGAGGGAGGAAGAGAGGGAGAGAGGGAGGGAGGAACCGGCTCTGCTCCGGCTCCCTGGAGCTGGAGGAGTTACAAGGTTAGAGTAGATTAGGTCCTGGTTTAGTCCTTGAGTAGTCTTTAAATTCTGGTTTACTCCTAGTTCTTGTTTATTTAAGATGGTTTCGTTTGCATTGAGTTTAGTCCTGGTTTAGTCCTGGTTTAGTCCTGGGATAGTTGGTTTGGTCCTAGTTCTTGTTAATTTAAGATGGTGTCGTTTGCACAAAGTTTAGTCCTGGTTTAGTTCCGGGCATAGTTGGTTTAGTTGTGGTTCTTGTCAATGTAGTACAGTATTGTAGCCAAATTATTACAATCCTGAAGTTTAGTTCTGGTTTAGATCTGATTTCATCTTTTTTCTTGTTAATTAAAGTTGATGTTGCCACCAAGCTGAATCTTCCTTCAATTGGTCGCAGGTTTTGTCCTGGTTTATTTCTGGAGTTCTAACTTAGTCCTGGCTTACTCCAGTTTTAGTCCTGGTTTAGTCCTGGTATAGTTCTGGGATAGTTCTGGGATAGTTCTGGGATAGCTGGTTTAGTCCTAGTTCTTGTTAATTTAATACGGTAGTTTATTACAATCCTGAAGTTTAGTCCTGGATTAGATCTGGTTTAGTCTTTTTTCTTGTTAATTTAAATTGATGTTGCCACCAAGATGAATCTTCCTGTGATTTGTCTCAAGGTTAGTCCTGGTCTAGTCCTGGTCTAGCCTTGGTTTAGTCCTGGCTTTATTCTGGGATTAGTTTGGGTATAGTCCTGGTATAGTCCTGGTATAGTCCGGGTTTAGTCCTGGTATAGTCCTGATATAGTCCGGGTTTAGTCCGGGTTTAGTCCTGCTATACTCCTGGGATAGTTGGTTTAGTTGTAGTCTTGTTAATTTAGTGCAGTAGTTTAGCCTATTATTACAATCCTGAAGTTTGGTCCTGGTTTAGATCTGGTTTAGATCTGGTTTAGTCTTTTTTCTCACTAATTTAATGTTGCTGCTGCCAAGATGAATCTTCCCTGTAATTTGTCTTAAGGTTAGTCCTGGTGTAGTCCTCTGTTAGTCCTGATTTAGTCCTGGTTTAGTTCACTGTTAGACCTGGTTTATTCCTGGTTTATTCCCGATTTAGTCCTGGTTTAGTCCTGTTGCTTTGTAGCCTCAGCCAATAGTTCGAACTTAACCAAAGTCCTGTTCTGAGTCTGGATCTGGTTTGGTTTCGTTGTCCTGTAGTACTACTGTAGTATTGTAGTCATAGTTTATTTGGTCTAGTCCAGGTTTAGTCTTGGGTTAGTTTTTGTTTATTTCTGTCAGATATTGTCTGGTTTAGTTCAGAAAATCCTGACCCTAAGTTTTTGTACCATAAAGTGGCAAAAAATACAGAAAAGTGTGGTTTCGTTTTAGAAGAAATGTTAATTCTAGTTCAACAAATGAGACTTAAATTCAACCGTGGTATAATAGTTACCGGCTCAGTATGTCTATCTGTTTAGAGTTTGCACGTTCTTCTTACACTGATGTGGCTTTCCTCCCACTGGCCAGTCCTCCTGACCAATATCTAGAGAACAGTCCCCCAATCTGGCAACCCAATTTGCTACAGTAGCTTTGAAGGATCTGGTCATATTCATCATAAATTCCATCTTGTTTCCAGCTCGAGCTCTTCTTCTTCTTCCCAGTTTCATTCAGTTAAACGAGTGCGTGCAAACCTCTCCTCTGCTTCTCTCCCTCCTTCCATCTCTCCTCCTCTCCTCTCTCCCGCTCTTTACGACTTTCCATTCGGGTTGAAAGAAATTGACTTTGGCAAACAAACCGCTAATTATAAGCTCCTCGGTTCCTGTTTTATGAAAGAGACAGAAAGAAAGAGCAATTTTGTTATGCAGTTTGGAGTTGCTGAATTAAAACGCGGGTATTTTCCCATGGGGTCTTTGAAAGCACCGTGGCTGTTACTGGGGCTGTTTAGTTGGAGGAGTATTCTGTGTGGACTTATTGTGTCGGAGGAAATGGAAAACATGGGTTGCTTAATTTAGTGTTAAAAAGCTGTCTTTCATTACGGGGTATTACCAGTGCCACTTCCAGTATGTCGTTTTTTTTTTTTTTTTAATAAGTTAATTTTAGTCAAATGTATGAAGTGTTGGTTTGGATTAGTACAAGTTGTGATTCAGAAGCCACAGCGGAGTTGGGGTTAAACCAGGGCTAAACCAGAACTAAACTAGAGCAAAACCAGGGCTAAATGAGGGCTAAACCAGGACTAAACCAAAAATAAACCGGGGCTAAACTAGGACTAAACTAGGACTAAACTAGGACTGAACCAGGGCTGAACCAGGGCTGAACCAGGGCTGAACCAGGGCTGAACCAGGGCTAAGCGAGGCCTAAACCTGGGCTACTAAACTAGGACTAGAAATGCCAAACTTAAAAAAAAAAGAGGACTAAACTAGGGCTAAACTAGGGCTAAACTAGGACTAAACTAGGACTGAACCAGGACTGAACCAGGACTGAACCAGGACTGAACCAGGACTAAACCAGGACTAAACCAGGACTAAACCAGGACTAAACCAGGACTAAACCAGGACTAAACCAAGCATACATCAGGACTAAAGCTGTGCTCACACTCACCACATCAAATTTGGGACTAAACTTGGTCCTAAACCTGGTACCAACTCAGTACTAAACCAAGACTAAACCAGGAGGACTAAACCGAGTCTACATCAGGACTAAACCAGAACCAGAAAAATATTAGTGCCACTTTCTGCCCCTACATTGGTATCAGTTAATATAGACAAAAACTGAAGCTATTGCATCACTCATTTAAAAGTTTAAGACAACATTATAACATAAATCAGAAAAAGCATAATATTGGCTCTTAAAATTTTGCAGAACTAAAATCATAATTCAGTACATAATTCCCACTGATTACAAATATAAACTCCAAATCTTCTTTTTTTTTTTTTTTTTTTTTTTTTTAAACCTTAGTTTACTAAAGTACTTTGCTCTGTTCAGCCTTCCCTTTAATAACACTCCGCTCATTTAACAAGTCCAAAACCACAATTCCGTAAACATTTCCCGCTGATTACAAAAACTTCATTAAATCCTCTTTTCTCTCCTCTTTTCGCAGGTGAAATCCGGTGTTATTGTGACGCGCCCCACTGCGTAGCCACTGGATACATGTGCAAGTCCGAACTCAACGCCTGCTTCACTAAAGTCCTGGATCCGTACGCCGCCAACTCCCCCCTCACACACGGCTGCCTCGACCCCGTGGCCAACGCTGCCGACGTGTGCAGTAGTAGCAGTAGTAGTAGTAGTAGTAGTAGAAGTTTGGACCCTCTGAATGGAGCTGTGGGGACGTCGCTGGAGTGTTGCCATGACGACATGTGCAACTACAGAGGACTCCATGACCTGGGGCACACGAGGGATTCAGCAGGTAAAAACAATACTCTGGTTTTGTTACATGTGGTAAAAAAGTAGATGGAACTACACGTACCATGATCCTTTGCTCCTTTTCACTGAAATAATATAATTATAATTAGCTCTACTTCAAAAATGATAAAGTTGACCAATGACAAGATGGTAAAAACATAATAATTAATTGGCTCTATTGTAGTAGTAGTTGTAGTAGTAGTAGTAGTAGTTGTAGTTGTTGCTGTCTACTGGTTGGAGTGTTAGTAGTTGGAGCATTAGTACATGTAGTTGGAATAGTAGTACAACTTAAAGTATTAGCAGGAGTAGTTGTAGTTGTAGTATTAGTAGGAGTAGTTAGAATAGTAGTACTAATTGCAGTTTTAGGTTTTTTGGAGTAGTAGTAGTTGGAGTAGTTGGAATAGTATTAGTATGAGTAGTTGGAATAGTAGTATTAGTAGGAGAAGTAGTACTAGTTGGAATATTAATAGGAGTAATTGTAGTTGGAGTATTTGTAGGAGTATTTGGAGTATTAGTAGTTGTAGTAGTACTAGTTTGAGTATTAGTAGTTGTAGTAGTACTAGTTGGAGTATTAGTAGGAGTATTTGGAATAGTAGTACTAATTGCAGTTTTAGTAGGAGGAGTACTACTGGTTGGGGTATTGGTAGGAGTAAATGTAGTTGGAATAGTAGTAGGAGTAGTTGGAATAGTAGTACTAATTGCAGTTTTAGTAGGAGGAGTAGTACTAATTGGAGTATTCATTGGATTAATTGTAGTTGGAGTATTAGCAGAAGTAGTTTGAATAGTTTCAGAAGAAGTAGTAGTATTAGTTGAAGTTGTAGCAGGAGTAATTGGAGTAGTAGTCCTAGTTAATGTATTAGTTGGAGTATTAATAGTAGCAGTAGTAGTAATAGTTGGAGTCGTAGTAGTATTAATAGTAGGCTTGTAGTTAGCTAATAGTTGTAGTAGTAATAGTAGTAGTTGTTGTTGTATTTGAAAGCATTTGTAGTACTAGTACCTGAAAGTAGTTGTAGTTCTGTTTCCAAATTTTGTGTGTAACTTTTCAAAATATTGAATTACAAGATCCTATAATCCAAAACACTATTTTTTATTTTCTAACAGTTAGCTAAACTGCAAAGAGAACTACATATCCCATGATCCTTTGCAGCCAACACAAATAAACCATTGTTATTTATCACTTTTTAATCTCAATGTTGTGGAATATGACAGTTATGAGTGTAGATGGAGACCAATATTTGTGTAAGAATTAGAAACATTGTATTGGATATTATTAGGCAAAGACATTAAACGCTAAATACATAAACCGCTTTTTTGCTCTGCTTTTCTCCGACTCACGCCCTTTTTTTGGACCTCACCTCTCCCTTTCCTTCTGCGCTTGGAAAGACATCACATATATTTTTTTTCTCTTTTTTTTTATTACGTTTGCACCATGTAATTTTCCCACCGAGCAGGAATGTAGCCGTGTAGTCACTAACGCTGCCTTGTTTTGAAGAAGACAGGAGGCAGAGGAAGGCAACTCCCCCTGCGGCCATTTTACCTTTTTTATTTTTTTCGAGCTGGCGGTTTATTAGCCCAAATTATACGTGCGCTACGGGCTAGGACAGAGTGACTCATTTGTTTAGCGCTCGCTTTGATCTCGGAGCGTCTTTGCTGGTTTTCCGTTTGGACATGCGCCGCGGGCCAAATTGCGTGTAAGGGACGCTAATAATAACAGGGTGAGCGCTAGTACGCTAACAAAAGGTACAAGGCTACGAGCTACAAGGCTGTGTTTTCAGAAGAATGAGTCAGTTAATATAATTGAAAACACTCTGCCATAAAAGTAAAAGTCAAAATTTATACTTTTAAGGTTCTTTTAAAGTAGAGTGACTAGATTTTCAAACTAAAATAAAACTAAGACATCCCTGGTTTGGGGTGGTTGGTAATAATAACATTTTTATGCGCTTAGCATTAATGTGAGTCAGTGTAGTCACGTTTTCTTTGTGTTTTTGTCATTTTTAAGCAGCTTTTCTGTATTTTACCTAAACAAATGACAGATTATGCCTCTTTTTACTGTTGGCAGGGATCAAATTAGTCAAAAATATTCAGAAAAAAATTCTGATCTATGTTATAATGTTGTTTCCTCATCATAAACAGACCTGGAGTTGTGTTTTGTTTCATTCACACATTTTTAAGACAGAAATTCTACATATTTAAGCTGAGTTCTTCTCTCAAACAGAAAACACTCTTGTGATGTCATGTGGTAATACAGGAAGTGCTCCACTGTGTTTTTAAACTCCATAAACCAGGTTTCTCCAACCTTTTTCCTCTTGTGTGCTACCTTTACAAAATGAAAAGTCCTGGTTTTAGTCCTGGTTTTAGTCCTTAGTTGAGTCCTGGTTGAGTTCTAGTGAAGTCCTGTTTTAGTGTTGGTTTTAGTCCTGGTTTTAGTCCTGGTTTAGTCTTGGTTTAGTCCTGTTGAACTCTTGGTTTAGTCCTGTTGAACTCTTGGTTTAGTCCTAGTTTAGTTCTGGTTTAGTCTTCGCTCAAACGGAAAACACTCTGTTCCACCTTCTGCTGTCATGTTCTAATACAGAAAGTGCTCCACTTTGTTTTTAAACTCCATACAACTTCACTAGAATCATTTGGATCATTTCAGCATTGAAATTTCAAATCTCTACTGAACAAAAAGTAAAAAAAGCTGTTAACTTGAAAACAACTGCTTTATGACATCACAAGGTGGAACAGAGCATTTTGAACTTCGGAGATTACTCAAATATGTGTCAATGAAACAAAACACAACTCCAGGTCTGGTTTTGACGAGGTAACAACTTTATAACATGGCTAAAACCTCACAAGAATGCATTTTTCGTAATGTTGTCATGGCCGATACTATCTACATTCTTATTTTTATTTTGTTTGGAAGGTTCCACAGTACTGCTATAAACACACCTCTAGCATTTGTTTTACTTTATTACTCAAAAAATACCTTGAAAAACATGAGTTATTTCTATAAACAGGCTTGCCTTCCTGTAGATCTGACCTGTAACTTAGCCTAATTTTGTCACCGCTTTGTCTCCATGGAGATAGATAAGTTTAATGCCATACTGTGGAATATTATTAGCAAACAAAAACATTAAACTACTTAAACTCTTAAACTACTTTCAGACACATTTAAGATATTTGAGATTTACAGTTTAAAAATATGTAAAAATCATTCAAAAGCAGTTCAAACGAGGCTAAAAACAATAGCTGCTAGACTCAAAGTGCTGATATGAGAATTAGACAAAGCCCTGTACTTTTCAGATATTTATTCTACTCTTTTGTTTAAACTGTTCTAATAATGTCAACTCAGCGGATTCTGCAAAAACATGAGATACGTTTTGTAGTAAATGTCCTTGGATGTTTTGTTGCCAATTTTTTAGAGTAATAACAGTAACTTCCTTGTTTTGGCTGCGCTGAAATGAAGCAAAGGATCATGGTCTATTTAGTTGATGGCTTTTTATCACATGGCTGCAACAACACAATGGCTCCACGCTTGCAATTTAATATAAGTGGTTTTCGAGTGAGGCATCTTGGAATTGCAATTTCACGTTTTTGCCAATATTGTTGTTAACATTGCCAGCTGCACCAGACTAGAAAAACATGGGCAATTATTGTTATCATAGTATCTGCAGCTTTTGTGAATGAAAGAAATTGACCACAGATAAACATTTATTTTTGATTTTGTTTCAGAAAATCCCAGAAAACACAAAATAACCTGTATTTGTCACAGTTTTGCAGACTTTGTTAGAGGCTCCAAAACCTGAACTCATACATTAACATAATAACACATAAACCTTGCTTATTTAGATTAGAGTTCTTCTCTCAGACCAAAAACACTCTGTTCCACCTTGTGATGTCATGGGTAATACAAGAAGTGCTCCATTGTGTTTTTAATCTACATATACCTTCACTAGAATCATTGGAAATTCCAGGGGTGAAATTATTCAAATCTATCCCAAACAAAAGATGAAAGGTCCATTTGGAAACTGCCACTACATGACATCACAAGGTGGAGCAGAGCATTTTGAGCTTTGGAGATGACTATAATTTAAAAAAAATAAAAAATTAATAAATAAATTACTCATTCTAACATGACTTAAAGCTCACGAAAGTCAATTCTGCATACTATAGGACCTTAAGAACAATTTTGGCAGCAATACTTGTACTTGTAATTAGGGGTGTGAAAAATATTGAAATATCGATATATCGTATCGTTTAATGTGATGATACAGTATCGATATTGTGGGCTGCTACCAAGAGTATTTTTTGGTATATTTTACTAGATTATTTTGTTTCAGAGCTACAGTTGAGTTATTTTTTAGGGGAAGGAAAACCTGTTTAGGTGACGCATTTGACATTTTCACTGATTTGATGATTAAAATGTTTGTGTTTCATATGAACTTTGCACAAGAAGTGATTTAACAAAGACTTTTAGTATCACAGACACAATTTAGCCTTTATGTTTATTGAACCATATCGAAAAGATTTGAAATATATCATATTGAAATGTATCGAGTCATAAGCTCACTGTATCGAGATATGTAACTATACTTTTGCTCAAGTACAAAGTTTCAGTAGTGTTTCCACTACTGCAGATTCCACATTTTCACACTTTACTTCCTCTTTCTTCCAGACCACAGCCGCTACCCGCAGGACAGCAGCCGCAGCCTGGTCACGCGGGTCCAGGAGTTGGCCTCGGCCAAGGAGGTGTGGTTCAGAGCAGCCGTCATCGCCGTGCCCATCGCCGGCGGGCTCATCCTGGTCCTTCTCATCATGCTGGCCCTGAGAATGCTGCGCAGCGAAAACAAACGCCTCCAGGACCAACGGCAGCAGATGCTCTCCCGACTGCACTACAGCTTCCACGGGCACCACACCAAAAAGGGCCACGTCGCCAAGCTCGATTTGGAGTGCATGGTTCCGGTAACTGGCCACGAAAACTGTTGCCTCACTTGCGATAAAATGAGACAAGCCGATCTAGGAAATGACAAAATCTTATCGCTTGTGCACTGGGGGATGTACAGCGGACACGGAAAGCTGGAGTTCGTATGATCCTAGCTTCGTTTTGTGGAGCATTCCGATTTCTAGACATTGACATTCCCGGTTTTGGACTTTCGGGGGTTTTGAGGACCAAGCAGGACTGAATTTCATGGAGCACTTTACTTGAATATTAGCGGTGAAACGCCACACCCCTGGAGCGTTCAACTCGAGGCGTGATCCGGGACTCGAAAACGCAAGGATTATGTCGTCTTATTTGCACATTTGTATAAAAAAAGTTGTTTGATTTTTTTCAACACTGACCAGGGTACAGACTATGTTAGGAGGAGGAGGAGGACAGTTCCTTTGCTGTGACTGAAGAGCGCACTCCTCGGGTATTGTAAAAGTTAAAGTGGATCTATCTATTTTTGTCTGATGAAGCGTGCTGTTCAGACTTTAAGCTTGAGTGTGAGAGGAAAACCATTAAAGGTGACTTTTTATTTAACATGTCGACTCCTGTGTTGTTTCTGAAAATATCCATTGTTATATTATACATTATTCAAGAGTTTGGTGGGGATAGGAGAAGGTAACATAACTAGTAATGCTATGGTGTGGTTGGATAAATAACTACCAACTAGTAACTAATAAATGGATGAATTTCATAAATAAAAGAGGAACACTAACCATCTAAGTAGAGGATAAACAGTTCAACAGTTCAATTTAGAAAATAGTTTTACATTACAAGGAGAAAGTTTTGACATGCATTGAATACAGTGACACATTTCAAGTAATTCCTTCTTATCAGAGGATAAAAGGAGAAAACACAAAATTCAGTATTTAATATTTGACTGCAAATATGCTATAATAGGGTGACCAGAGTTTCAAAATTCTAAACTGGGACACACCCAGGTTGAGACTGTTGGTACAAATAACACTGAAAAGAGTGCATAACTTAGTGCATAATCTGATGGGCTTCTGTTGCCGCATTTTTTTGTTTTAAGGTCATTCGCAAACACAGATTTCTGTATTTTGGCAAAACAAATTACAATGCAGTACAATTATGCTCCTCTTTACTGTTGGCAGGAAACAAATTAGTTAAAAACTGTGTGAGTTCTGTTTGTTTTAGAGTTGATGTAGTCCTGGTTTAGTCTTAGTTTAGTCCTCGTTTAGATCAAATTTGTTAAAAATTGGGATACCTAGGCCATTTCTTGTATAAAACTGGGACAAATCACTGGTTTTGTATAAATCTGCAGGGACAGGGGACACATGGCTCAAAACTGGAACTAGGAATAGGGACAGTTTGGTCTGGTCACCTTATTTTATAAGCATAGGTTTGGTTTGGTTCGTAGCTGTAGGTAAATTTGTTTTGTAGATTTAAAAGGCTGGTCCCACATTTCATATTTCATTCATCCACATTATGTACTATAAACACATATAAAAACATCATTACAAAATAAAGTGTTAGAGTGCTCCAGTGCAGAATGGTTTTGTTCCATAAATAATTAATTAAATATATAAAAACACACAATTTTTCCAAGACAAATGTACTAAAATTGATAGATATATAGATCACAATTCATAAGTATGATAGCAGCTGGAACGAAGCTCTTTTAAAATAACTCGTTCTAGATCTTGGGACTGAAAGCCTCTGACCAGGTAAACAGTTGACACTCTGAGTTTAGTGGATGTTGTACATCTTTTAAATGTTGTGCATATGGAAGGGAGATGTAGGCAGAGGTGGGTAGAATAGCCAGACTATCCAAATTTATACTCAAGTAAGTGTAACATTACTTCCTTAAATAATATTACTCAAGTAGAAGTAGGCTGCTACATGTCATTGGAGAAATAAGAGATAAATGAGAGACAAAATTTCCCTAAATAATGCACTAAAAAAGAGAAAAATGTTGTGATGCAAAAATCACAAATGTTCTAATCATTTCATATTGTCACATAAAGCTTTTGTCACTTATAGACTTACAGTGGGAAGAGGAAGCACAACTTTTACTGAAGTAAGAGTAGACTACTGGTACTCCAATAAAAATAGTAGAAGTTAAAGTAAAGTGCCAGAAAAGTTACTCAAGTAGGCCTAAATGTACTTAAGTAAATGAGTACTACACTTAACAGCTCTGTGGTATGAATAGCCTACTCTCACTTGTACTTTTGAGAAATAGTATAGTTGCGATTTGTTTTCACGGTTCCACCTCATTCATCACACAGAGGAAGCCTGGGTTGAAAAGTTCAGGTCCGATCGCCATGGAAACCTAACAAGTTCAAGTGTCTACAGCCTGTGTGTGTGAGAGGCTTGTGGAGCTCCATTAGCGGCACAGGAAAACACTATTAGCACACGGCCACTTAAAGCAGTTAGCATTAGCGCGCACTGGGCCTCCCTCAGGACGATTAGCGCGCTATCATAACAGTGTCCCCCGCGTGGTCGCGCCGCCTCACCGCTAATGCTACTGTAGCTTTAGCACAGCTGCACATGACAACATGGAGACACAGAGGATTATAAATGAGAAGTGGCATCTGTAGTTTTACAGGGAAATGAAACGCAGTGTTTGTCTTTAGGGCTGGTATCAGTCAGAAGTTTCGGATATGTTACATACAGTACCTCAGTACATAAGCCACAATACATATCTCAATACAGTGAGCTTACAATTCGATATGATTCAATAAAAATAAAGGTTAAATCATGGTTGTGATACTAAAAGTCTTTGTTAAATCACTTCTTGTACAAACTTCATATGAAACACAAACATTTTAATCATCAAAAGAGTGAAAATGGCAAACATGTTGCATTAACGAGTTTCCTTCCTCTGAACAAACAACAAAACTGTAGTGCTGTAAGAAAATAATTAAGTAAAATATACCAAAAATACTCTTGGTGATATATCGATACAGCAGCCTACAATATCAATACTGTATCAGCACATTAAACAAACCGATATATTGATACATCAGTATTTTTGCACACCTCTATTCGTCATTGGGAAATTTTCTGGTGAACAGTCTCCATGGAGATGTAGCTTTGTTTTGAATGTTTCACAGTATAGTATTAAACATACGTATCTTATGGTGCATTTCATCCTTTCATTCATGCGTATCCATTCATCATTCATTCATATCCATTCATCTCCCACTTGGATCTCGGATATATCATCACGTCCACACTTCAAGTGTTTCATTATGTTTCGTGCATAAACCGTATATGAATGGACATAACTAACGCGCTGTCGCGTGTCTAACTTGAAGAAAAATGTGGACGCCAACCGCAAAGCTGTTATTATTGTTGTTTATCTTCTGTTAGCGACCCTTAGCATGTTTAGCAAGACCTGTTTAAAACAAGTCTTTGTTCAATATTGGCCTCACCACAACATCGACCACCATAACAAACAGGCAGTGATACAGACGCAGTAAGGTACTGCAGTAATACAAGTGACTGAAATTCATTTAAACCACCAAAGCTGCAAACACAATGAAAACAGTTCATATTTTAAAATGACACTGGGCACAGCCGTCTTCAGTTCTATCTCGGAAAACTAGCTCCAAGTTCTGAATTGTGTGTGAGAACAAGGGGCGTGTCAGTGTGTGGCATCGTCCTCTGACCTCCAAGTTGGATGAATAATCGAACGCACCACAATCTGTCAGTTTCAGAATGATGAGAATCATTGTGACCAACAATGTAAAACAAAATATATATTTTGAATGAGAAAAACTAAAAATGTTGCATGTAACAAGAAACAAACACCACAGAAATCACGCAGTGGACCTTTACAATGGATGACCAGAGTTTCAAAATTCTAAACTGGGCCACACTCCGGTTGGTACGGTTGGTATAAATAAAACTGTAAAAAGAGCGTAACATTATCCAGCCTCGACGCACTTGTGGGTCAGTCATAATCTGAGGAATTTCTGTTGGTTCAAAGAGTTCATTTCTTTGCCTTATGCTTTCAAAGTCAGTTTTCTATATTTTACCTAAAAAAGTTATGATATATATCACAAGCACATTATTTATGTCGACCTGTTTATTTGAATTTGTCTGTACGTTAATAACTGACACCAAATAAGTAACTGATGCGATGTATTTCTACTTGAAGGTTCTTTTGATGCCTTCAAACATGGTCAGGCCTTTAGAGGGGTATTGTAAGGATTTCATAAAACAATACTGCCTAGTATTTTTTACCAGGATGACTCATTTGGTAGACATACATACATACATACATACATACATATGGTACATACGGTACATACATAAATACATACATGCATACACACATACATACATACATACATACATACATACATACATACATACATACATACATACATACATATATACATACATACATACATACATACATACATACATATAATACATACGTACATACATACATACATACATACATACATACATACATACATACATACATACATACATACATACATACATACATACATACATACATGCATACATACATACATATATACATGCATACATACATACATACATGCATACATACATACATACATATATGCATGCATGCATACATACATACATACATACATGCATGCATACATACATATATACATGCATGCATACATACATACATACATGCATGCATACATACATATATACATGCATGCATACATACATATATACATGCATGCATACATACATACATACATACATATATATACATACATGCATGCATACATACATACATACATGCATGCATGCATACATACATATATACATGCATGCATACATATATATATATATATATATATATATACATACACACATACATACATACATGCATGCATACATATATACATGCATGCATACATACATATATATATATACATGCATGCATACATACTTACATACATAGATACATGCATGCATACATACATACGTATATACATGCATGCATACATACTGACAGACAGAGACAGACATACATACAGTGATACACATACACACACCCACATACACACACACATACATACGGTACATACATACATACATAAATGCATACATACTTACATACATACATACACACACATACATACATACATACATAACATACATACATACATACATACATACATACAGACATACATACATACACATACACACACACACACACATACACACACACACACACACACACACACACACACACATACATCACACACACATACACACATGCATGCTCACCAGTGTTGTGCAAGTTCACACTTTTCATGAACTAGTTCAAAGTTCAGTTCAAGTTCAGTTCATTTTATATATTAGATGAGAGATCTGTAAATGAAAGGCTGCATTTATTTTTCAAACTGACTTCTAGTTTACAACAACTTTACAAGATCCACTGTTGGACAAGTGACTTTAAAACTGTAATGTGTTATTTATGACTTGTTACTGTCATTTCAAAGTCATTTGTTACATTACAATATTACTGTATTTAAAATGTAAAACATTACATGACTATTGCAGCACTTTTAATT